TTTATTTATTTTTACAAATTAAGCCGCAAAAGTCACAAAACTCCAGATAAACCTTCCACAGTTCCTTGACGGAAAATGAAAATGGTGCCATAATCTTCTCTGCTTCATTTTCCTCCCGGAAAATCCTTCATTTTTCCTTCTAATTGGCACCCTTTTCTACCCTTTAAAGCAACATATATTAGTCTCTGCCAGAGCTGCTTCTACCATGTTCACCACTACAAAATAGAAGATAAGCGGAGAACAAGAAAGATGCGGTTAACATGGACGAGGATGTGACCCAGGTTTTTTTTTTTTTTTTTCCTTTTTCCTCTTTTAATTCAAGGAAATTGCACCATTTTTCTTCTTGAATTTTGGGTTGCATAGTAAGTTTCTCAATTTTTGATTTTTTATAGCTAAGATTATAAATGGGTTTGGTGATTTTTCTTGGGTTCATAATTGCTGCATTTCATCTATTTTGCTGCGGAAATGGGAAAAGAACTGTGAAGCGAATATTGTTAGAATTTTTGAGTTCCTAATGTGGTTTTCATGTTTAAATAATAGAACTTGAGTTTGGATCGACTAGCATAAATTATCAGCTATTGATTTTCAAATCGTACCGCTGAAATGATGATGCCATAGTTAGTATCTCAAACCGTTGGATTTAGAAATAAGGCTGATAATTTATGTAAAACTTACATGTATGTAACTGGACAGAAAGAAGAATCCTTTTACTTGCATTTGTACTGCAGTTGTTTTGACGGATCCATTAAAAAGGTCTAAAGGGGCTACTGATAAAGCTGAAGAAATTGTCCTCACTGTACCAAATGCTTACAGTTTGATAACATTTCATGGCTAATATGAAGGAAATTGATCTTTTATCATGTGATTGACCTTTTTAATAGCGTTGATTGCCTCTAAATACGTTACCTTTCAGATATTTTGTAATTATGTTACTCCATGAACTGCAGATACAATTTGAAATTACGGGACGAGAAATATGGGAGGACACGCAGGGCGGTGTTGACATATTTGTTGCTGAAATCAGAACTAGTGGTACACTTGTACTGTTACAGGAACTAGGCATTACTTTAAAATGATGAACAACAAAATTCAGGTCTATTTGGTTTTAAAGTTTACTGGATTACAATGTCGATTTAATATCAATAGTTTCACTACTCAATATGATCTATAA